AAGCATCTTCTAAATCTCACTGCTGTAAGCTCATTTTCCTGGACTGTTATTATACATAATAAGAGACTTGACTTGACAGCTCCTATAATAACACATTCTAAATCTTAAATTTGATGTGTGTTTTTTACTTTAAACTCTTGTGATGGCAAAACCATTTTCCTCAAAGCTGATTGGTTATGCAGGTCTACAACAGTGCTTAAATGGAACCTTGCTGGGCCAAGCTTTCTGCCAAGGAGGAATCTTTTTATTTTGAGCCTTTTTGATGGCTGCACATGATATCTGACTGAAGAATTTTTGTTTTATCATTAAGAAATAAACGTGTCTTGCTTCTTGAGATCTCCCTGGCTTCAGCAATTTGTAGTCATTTCCACTATAGACCATTAAGAATATATTTCAAAGGCAAGCTAACAAAGTTCAAGTAAAAATTATTTTTTATATATTACAGCTTCTAATTGGCATTGGGTAAGTATTAGAGATTATCAACATAAATTACATATAGTGTCAAATAATGAATTTAATTCCTAGATGTTGGTTAATTCTCCTTATTTCATTCATTGTTGTTGGTTGTGTAGTCATTGTATGCAGACTAATCTTCTGATAAAACTTTAAACTCCTCAGTTTATTTGGTGCATTTATTTTTCTTATAAGTTTTTTCCAGCCTTCTTAGACCTCCTTTAATACTGTGACTTTGTACATTTCCCCATAGTGAAGTCTAGTTTTGTCACCATTGCCCTAGAAGTATCTCAAAATACAGTGCCTGTGTCATTTCCTCTCTGATTTAGCTTTCATCCTACTTTTAAAGCAACAGAAGATTAAACTTGATTTTGTGGCCCCCTAATACAGGTATGACTGGATAAAATAATTAACATGACATGTGCTGCCTTAGAACTGAAGCTTTGCTATTCATTTCATTTATTTGTTCTATTTCTATAATTTAGTTTCTTCTCATGCTAAAGCTGTATTTTTCTTAAAGGCTTATAAAAATTTTGCTGAAAAAAAATGTTGGTGCTTCGGTGCAGGCATGGAACCTCTTTTCCTAAACTAGACAACTTGGTGAGTACTTTCATTTATTTTTGCCAATACATACAGGTTCTCAAACTAGATACTGTCAGAAATACACTTGACAGGGCCAAACACTACTGAAATATATCAGAAGAATTAAAGAGCATCTGCTTTCACAGATGGAATGGAAGAAGAACTTACAAAGTCATTGTACTTTGTGGCAATCATTATGAGTGTTACTTTCAACTCAAAAAATAACTAATTATAGATTTTAATCATGAACTTTTAGAGATGGAAGGGATCTCAGTCATCCAACATAATACACCAATTTTACAGAAGAGAAAATGAGTTTTCTATTTGCAAATATAAAGGCTATATATATTATCAAGAATCACTGTGACAGCTACTAGAGAGATGAGATGAATGATTAAGCAAGGCAGAAATTAACCATCCAAAAGTACCCTTAAATCTTGGGCCATAATCTTAGAAACATTTAGCAAAGAAAACTTTCACCAGTATTCTCTTTATTAGTTTCCACATATTGTTGTATCCTATACCAAACACACTAGTTTCAGCTGTTGTTTTTCATTCTCTATGATATTCTAACTCTGAAAATCTTTAAACAGTAGGAAAGGTATTTACATACCACTGCTTCCTTTGTTTAATTACATTCTACCATTTTTTCTAATATATGAAAGAAAACTCATTACACCCACAATTTAGGAAAATGTCCATTATAAAAATGCTAAAGCATCATTTATGTTGCTCCTATAGGAAGTAAACAGAAGGGTAAGCATCGGTCCAATTACGCTAGATGCATTTTATGTCCAGAAAAGGAAGAAAGAACGAAAGGAATGAATAACAACTGGGTGTCTACATGTTGGTTACTATGCTAGGAAATGGGCTATATCTGATATACAATGAAAATGAATCATTCTGATTAAAATCTTTTATTTTCCTCTATTGTATATGCAAATAGAAAGTTTTCTTAAGAAATTACTCAAGTAAGTGTTTCAGAATAAACCTTGTTCAAAGATGTAAATACAAGACTTAATTTTACAAGTCTTTCATAATTAACTAGAGTGGGATAAATGAATGAACCCCGTTAAAAACAATCTCCAAACTTCATACATAAGTCTATATGTTTAATCAAGGTATCTAATAAAGAGATAAATTTACTATTCTG